ACTTATCTTTTCAAATATTTCCAACTATTATGAGTGTAAAATGTTTAATGCTACTTGATAAATTTTGTAAAGTTTATCTTATTCTCAAACTTATCAATAATTATGTTAATTCATGTTTAATAATAATGCATCCTACTTAACGGATCTGTTTTATTTTTAGAATGGTATTACCAGTGTAGGATTTATGTATAAGCTATACACAAGTTGTTGCCCCCAAAAAAATAAAACATAGTATAACAGACTCATAAATGGTCCCATATCTCAAATAGCTCAGGCCCTTATCAAGTCTAAATCTGGCTCTGGTTATCACAGTAGTGAAGTTCAGGCATAGATAATAATTTTGATTTCATTAAATTCCCATTTGCTCATAGGTCCTTAATTTTTTTCATTAATGGTCCTTAAAAGTACTTAATTTCCGTGTGCAGAAATGTGTACGAACCCTGTAATGCCTGTAGCAATATCGAGAGTCGCTCAACACTTGCTAATTTGATAGGGTTTGTAGCGGTTCTTATAAAATATAAAGGCCCTTATAGGTGCTTACTTTTTCTTTAAAGCCCTTATTTTTTTGTTTTTAGTGCTTATTTTTTGCTCTTTTTTTTTTTTTTTTTTTTTTTTTTTGTAATGAACACACTCTTTTTCCCGGTACCAAAGCCAAAACTAAATAAACAACAACTTTCCTATGGAAAAACAACTTTCCTTCTATGGAATGTCAGATGGTGAATCTTACTCCCGGAAATAGCTTTTCCCCTTTCTCTGCATTAACATAACCTTTGGTGTGCACAAAGAGTACAGACAGGTGCCCGTCGTTCTATTGGTCAAAGAATTGCGAAAGCAGTAGAAAATTCCGGTATATTCGACATTTTTTTTCCTCCCACCCAAATACTACACACGTTTGAATTTCTATCAAGATCTTAATAATTTGCATTCTCGTTCCGCTTGGTCAGTTCACATTCGTGTTTATTATGATCGTTATGCTTATGTTATGAGCATATGTATGAATGTTTATAATAACATAGTTGCAGTAACTGCTGAAGTATAGAAAACTTTCAAAATGGTTGTGTTTTAACACAGATTACCTTTCTAAGGAATAATATTCGGAATGGCTTAAATAAAGGGAAAGTTATCAAATAGTCAAAATAATTTTTTTTTTTGGCCAATACATTATACAGTACAAAGATTGGGAAGTTCTCCCCTTTCTTCGCAAAATCTCGAATATTGAAACTGTAACAGTTTGCTGCAAAACAACCGAAGGATTTTTTTTTTTTTTTGTCTCTTTCCAATCTGGATTGAATAGGACTAAAAGTTCTGCAGTCTACCAACCCAAGCGAAGAATGATTCTATTCCGGAAATTTAACGCCGTCTGTTGAAAATTAGAATGACAAACACCCCAGTTATTTAGTTCTTTATTCTCCCAATACCGGCAGCTGTTGATTCCGATCGCATAATATCACGTAAGGAAGAATTACGGCACACCTATTGCGCAATAACGCTTGTGGTATTTTGCAGAGATAATTAATTTTGATGTTCTGTACGAGATTTGTCTATGAACACTTAAAACGAGTTTTACTGTGCTTGCTAAGCAGAATATTTTTCAGTTCCATTGGTTTATTTTTGTATGATGTGCATATCGAAATGTCAAAAGCATTTATTTAGCGGAAAAATTTAAAGAGCGGCTACAGCCCCCCCCCGCTCTTCTTTTTCAAGTTACGCTCGACTTGTTCAAATATTCGCCAATTTCCAAGTATGCGGGTTAGTTAAGCTTTACTTTAACTTTACTTTTACTGTTTAAGGATGACTGCATGAAGCAAATTTCTGTCTTCTGATTTCAGAAATGTTCCTCTTTTTTACTTAAATTACTTTGTGTGCAATATCTGTTAAAGGAAAACTGATATACAATGAAAATTTAGAATATGTTCAGAATTTAGATTTAAATTATTTAAATATCAATATGAGTGGAAAAATAAATTGTATTTATTATTAGGTTCTTAGTGAGTACAATAAATATGCCTTATTATTATTTATTTTCTCTATTTTGAACTGAAATTTCATCATTAAATCTTGTAATATACAGTAGAAGTCCGATAATCCGGGACCGGCTCGGTGCCGGACTACCGAAAATTCCGGTCTATCGGGCGGTAATTATAAGAACAATTAGGTTAATAATTAAACTAAAAATACAGTATGCAAATACATACAACAAAGTTTATTTTACATTTCATATAATGTATGTACATGTACTGTAAAACATTTTCACTTAGATTTAAAAAAGTCACGAATGTCTTTTTGTTTCCTTGACTTTTGGCGTTTAGTATAAAATTTATTTCTAATGATATGGAAATCAATAATTTCTGAAGCACTGTAGCTATTACTAGCCTCGGCAAAAGAGATAAACTTATTTAGTTATTCTGCAGCTTCTGCCCAGCTGATTTTTTCCTTTTCTTCCGTTTCGGCATCTGAGTCATTTTCTTCAAGATTTTGAGTAGGCTGAGGGTTTATTACAATGTTGATAATGTCCTCATCGGTTAGTTCTTCAGGCTTATTCTCGTCGATTAAAAGCCACTCCTCTACCTCATCTTCAGGCAGGTTTTTCAAGGGATTGTCAGTACTTCTAACGACAACCAAAACTTTGGTCAGAGCGTCTTGATAGTTTTCTTCCTCATCAGCCTGTAGAGTTAGGTCAGATGCAGGGTTTGCAGCTGGCCAAAGTTTTCTCCACGATTTTTGGAGTGTTGTATTTTTTACCTGGTTCCAAGACTGTGCAATAGCATAGACGGCATCTTTTACTGTAAACTTTTTTTGAAAATCAGTCACGTCACAGTCGGCATTTAACAGGCCTTGAATAAAAGACCTTCTATAAAAGCATTTAAAATTTTGAATAACCCCTTGGTTCATGGGTTGAATCAAAGATGTTACGTTAGGTGGGAGCAGAGTAGCAACAATATTTCCAGAAACTAACTCATCTACTGGCGGATGGGCTTTGCAATTGTGCAAAAGAAGGATGGCTTTAGTATCTTCTGGTAGACCAAGGCTTTTGAAGGATTCCTTGACCTCAGGCACAAAGTGGTGAAAAAACCAGTCTTTAAAGAGGGTGGCAGTTATCCACGCATTTGATTGAGCATCGTATTGGACAAGCAAGTGTGTAACATTCTTAAAAGCCCTGGGTTTTGCAGATTTACCTATCACAAAAGGGGTCACTCGGTGGTTTCCAGACGCATTAGCACATAGCAAAACGGTTAATCTGTCTTTGTTTTTTTTAAAACCCTTGGCTGCTTTTTCTCCTCCCCCAGCTAGTGTAGATGTTGGTAAACATCGCCACAATAGCCCTGTTTCATCAGCATTGTAAATCTGTTCAGGTGTTAAATCATTATCAGCCACGATTTTCTCAAACTCGTCTTTGTATTTTTCTGCAGAGTTTTGGTTTGCTGAAAGGAGTTACATCAAGTCTTCGAATTCCATGCCGAAACTTAAAAAAGTTTCTGAGCCAACCATCAGAATAATTACATTCACTTTCAGCAACTCCTAAATCTTGGCCAAATTTCTTTGCCTTTTCAACAATCATTGGACCTGTTACCGGCTTTCCTTCAGAACGTACTGCACTAAACCATTTGAACAATACACTATCTAGCTGTTCCAGTTTTGGTATTTTTAATGTTTGTCTAGAAGCCAATTTTTCAGTTGTTACTGATTGAGAAGCAAACTTCATTAGTTCATCTTTTTTGTTTTTTAATGTCATAAATAGTTGATGAGCCAATATTAAACTCATTCATTAAAACATTTCTATTCTCGCCTTTCTCTAGCCGTTTGATGATTTCTAGAGTCTGATTGAGAGTCAGTGTTACGTGTTTTCGTTTCTTTCCTTTTGAACTCGAAGGCTTAGGTTTTGAAAACATGGTCACTGTACAGTTAGAACGAAAACCACTTTTTTTATAAACAGTTTCAAAAGTTACGTTTACTGTGATGTGAAAGGACACAAAAAAATGGCGAAGACGCTTCGTGATTGATTAATGGAGCTGCACTGCACCTGAATTTGTTGTGACAGCTGAGACTAGCCAGCCGCTAATTGTTTCTGAACAATACCGAGCGCTTCCGGATGATCTCGGAACTACCCCGAAAACTTCCGAATAGCTCTCGAGCGGTTTTATTTGCTTTAAAAAGACACACTTTTGGAGAAAACCAAAATTTTAACAATTTTCCGGAGCGATGCCGGACTATCGGGCATTCCGGGCTGTTGGATGCCGAACTAATGGACTTCTACTGTAGTTTAGTCCTGCATAGTTGTTTTTTTCCTCTCATTGTAACTAGTTCTGTAAATTGAACTGTTATTTAAAATTAAAAAAAAAAAGTAATTATTTTCCATGGTTGAGGTAATGCTTATTCTCTCCTAATATGCATTTCTCATATTTTAAATTACAATTTTTAAGGTTATGCAGTTGTGTATAATGTAATTAGACAGGTGCTAATTTTTTTCTTAAAATGTGCTTGAAAAGTGCTTATAGGTGCTTATTTTTTTAACGAAAACTTGGCTATGAACCCTGTTTGAGAGAGTTGGAATTCTTGAACCTAGTGCACAGGAGTTCTTTTGTGCTAGTGAATTTGACTTGCATGTAAAGACCCAGGATTGAATCCCCGGGTATAATCTTCGCAAAACTCAAGAACTGCTGCACTTCTCAGTGGTGCTAATAGATGGCACACAAGCAAACAACATACCAAGAGAAGCATACCACCATGTGGTTGCTGCATACCAATCTTCAGTTAGTGTGTTGTTCGTGTCATTGATATAAACTGTGGCTTGAAACGTTTTTTTTTTATTAGTTAAAAAATCAGTTTACCAAAGCAGCCAGTGCTTAGCTTATAGGGACCTTTAAAGTATGCTGTTACACAGCAGCTAAATTTTATTATTTAAATAAGGCAGTACCAAAATTTAAAAAATCTGCATTTGGATAGCATTTATGTATTGTTATAAATTGTAAGAAATTTATACAGTAAGTATTCTTTTTTAGTGCTATCAGTGTGGAAAACCTGGACACGTATCTCGTGAATGCCCTGGAGCTGATAGGGAAAGGGATGATCGTAAATGTTACACATGTGGTGATACTGGCCACATTAGTCGTGACTGCCCTGAGGGTGGAAATTCTGCTGAAGTTGATGATACAGTTTGCTATCGGTATGTATATCAGTAGCTCCTTCACTTAATATATTAAAAAATTTCTTTAAACTGTATTTTTTCTCTATTAACATTTTGGTCCTTTTAAGGCTGATAGTTTGGTTTCTTGACTCTTCTATTGTTTTGAAATATATTTTATGATCTGATTAATTTTGTAATTTAATGTTATGAAAGGAAAAATAAGATTTTATAACATGTGATTTATATATCAAATTTTTAAACATTTTAACCATAAAAGTGAGTTTTTTTTGGGGGGGGGAGGTAATTTTTAGGTTAATGTTTGAGTGTTTATTTTATGTGAATTAGTGCTTTGAAGACAGTATACATTTTGTGCAGTGAATTTTTATTGTCTTTCAGACTGTTGCATGTACTTTTAAAGTGTATAAAATTGTTAAACATTAACTGAATATGCATGCAGTAATATTTGCCGTTTAAAAATAAGTATGAATTAATAATGGTTACTTTTCCTCTTTGGTTACTTTTTAAGATTGTAAGATATGCATTGGAAAAAATAATTTTTGATGTAATTTATGTGGTGGTGCAACTTTTTTTTTTATTTTTTCCCAATATCCATATATAACACTGAGTGGGCCATTGTCTGCATTCCTTAACTTTGGCTTTTGCTAAATAACAACATATTCTTTAACTCTTTTGCTACATTATTAAGTAAGGAGCTATGTGAGAATAAGTTATTTGCACTTTTTGGTTTGGGTGAAAAGCAGGTACTTGGCTGTTTGGATAGGGGTTGGCTTGTAGCGAAAGAGTTGAATTGAGCTGTGAACCTCTGCATTTTGCTTATTTTCTATTTGTGCTTTCTAATTAAAATTGCTTACTCTACTAATATTGATTCTTTTCACTTATATACTTTCTTGTGCTTAAATCATTTGCTTTTTATTACTAATAAAATGTGATTTATACTACTTCTTTTCTAAATGTTTGTAATAATAGCAGTGCAAGGTTCCCCTAAAAATACTGTTTCTCAAACTTAATATTTATTTCCACAAAAGCATAAAATATGTTATTTATAGTATTATTATTAATGTGCAACATTTATACAAAATGTAAATTAGTGCCTTATCGCAGGTTGAGGCCTATACTATATGCATTTGAGTTCATTTCATATGATTTTCATATAGGAACGTTCGGAATTCTGGGGTGGGGAAATGAAAATTTAAATGATTAGATCTGTGATTAAGTACAGTTTTAGCATAGCTTCTTCAGGTTAGTTTTGAAGGAAAAAATCATAGAAAAGTAAGCTGTAACTTTTGGGAGGGTTGTGCCACATCTGAATTTTTATACAGATCAGTTTTAATTAGTATTTTTTTTTTTTTTTTTTTTTTGCTGCTAAGTATAGCCCTGTATCTGTTCTAGTGGATTATACTGAAACTGGAGAATGTTAAACCTTCATTCTGTTGCAGTATTTTGTTTCAAAATGAAAGTGGAAATCATGCAGATGAAGGCTGGCTTTTAACTGCATCAGCTGATGGGTGTTCTTGACGTGACTGAATAATTTTATTTAATTTTTTTTGGTAATTTGGTGATATATATCCTATTGTTTAATATTTCTCTTGAAGTTTGGCTAGCATTGAGGAAAACATTTTCTTATTTCAAATGACAAGGAAAATTTTAAGACAAGTTTTTAAATGATTTCTGACGACTGCTTGAGTGTTCCTCTCATAAGGTACCAAAAATTGGAACAGCTGAACTGCAAATTTTGTTTTTGCGATTTTTTTGTTGAAAGTTGTAGTAACATAATTTTCCCATTTAACAGCGTTTCCTGTGAGTGCGCCATCCCACAAGATCGGTTTGTTCACTGAGGTGCCCATTGTAAAAGGGTTAAAGTAGTTAAAATAACATGAAAGTAAATGAATAATTTGAGTGAAGGGCATTTTAAGGAATACTGCTTAAAGCAAGAATTGATTAAACTATGCTAGATTCATAATAATTATGAACTTTGTAACATTGCTAGTCAGTACACAGTCCATTTGGTATTCAACAATTAAAGTGAAGGTTTAACTTCAGTGGAACTGATTCCACAAAATTGATCTGCATCAGAGTTGTCTGAAGAAGTCCATTGTAGAACGAGGGCTTACAGTGTAAATAGTTAGTGGGAACCTTGTACATGCATTTTTCTTAATTACTGTTGACTGTCACTTTTTCTTACTGTTCATGTTAATATTTTTATCTGTCTTAATAAAGTCTAACTTAAAATTTGTAAAGATATTTGCAAGCACATCCTTAAATTTCAAATTTAAATTACCTGTTCTCTACGCAGGTGCAATGAAAGAGGGCACATTGCTCGTAACTGCCGCTCGAGCCGACCTAGTAAGTGCTACCATTGTGGAGAGGTTGGCCACATTGCTCGTGAGTGTGAAATGAAGGCATAAGCCTCCCACCTGCCCACGTTGCAGCCTCTGGTGTCTTTGAGAAATTGGTCCACACAATTTGGTGAGAGTGGGGAAATAAGCTGCTCCTGTGTTTATCTTGACGGCCTAGTTTTGGCTTGTAAGCCTTTCCCTGCAGATGTCTTTGATTCAAGTATGTGCCGTCATATATCTGGAGAGCAGAAAGCATTGCTTTTTGGGTTCAGAAAGAATGCACTCAGATCCAGAACTAGACAGAATGATGTACTTTTTCTTGTTTAGGTATCCTCTGGTCTCTGCCTGCATTATAGATGGTTAATTACATCATCATTTTGTTAAAAGGACTGTTTTGTGGAATAAATTCAAGGTTGTCATCGTGGGGAGGGATAGCATTCTGTTTAAACGATTTTGCTTTATTATGTTTTTTTTTTCTTTGAGTTTGACAATTGTATAAACTGTCAATTTTTAGCTCTTAAAATTACACTAAGTGTGAAACTGGGCATGATGACTGCACACTTTATGTAGGTAATGATTTTATGGGATGCTGTCCATCTTATGTTTTCACACTGTTATAGAGAGTGCATCTCAGCTTTCATTATATCTGTAGGTGTTATATATTGATTGATAAGATGGTATTATTCAGACTTAATGAATTGAGCCTTATTTTTGTATTGTTGACTATACATATTGTCTCAAAATTATGCACTTGTTACTTAAAAACTGCCTTTCACATGTATATAAATCAACTTCAAGCAAAATGTTACTGCTTTTTAAATAAATGTTTTCTTTTGACCATTTATGATAGAATTGTCTTTAATAAGGATCATTATATGGAGCAAATGATCGTAAATTATGCCCAATTATAATTGTATTTTTATTTTTATTTCTTCATTGTTTTTCAGATAAAATGAAAATCTTGGTGGTGCTTACCATGAATATGCATGCTACTCTTGTCTGGTGACAATTTATAAAATTAAACTTAGTTTATCTTTCAACTCTTATGCTTAGTGTCTCAGAAAACATCCATGGGGTGTATTTTTAATTGTATTTTTTAATAATAGGTAAAAAGTAAATCACAAAATTTTGGATTATATAGTTTTTTCTTAACTTTTTTTAAATGCACACATATGAAAAACCACAGATTTCAGTTTGAAAGTGATAAGCCTTTTGTGGCTCTGCCAGTCATCTGTTCCTTTAGCTCTGGTAAGAGAACCGGAGGTATTCCATATTGTAACTTCATAAGTGGTAAAATATGAGCAGTTTTGTACCAAAGTCTCAAGCTTGGTGCTTGTTTTAACAAATGCTACTGGGAAGTGAAGAGTACAGTTGTTTTGATAGTGGGGAATTTTATACTTGTAAATGAAGATCTTTGCAGTGTTTAGGAAATTATAAAGTCTCTGTTGTCATACTAATGAATTAATTTCTGTAAATTTGCATGATGAGCTGTTACTTTTGATGGGAAGAAAATATTTTTTTCATGAAGGGTGTACATGTCAACACATTATTCTCTCATCTGAATGGTAAACAAGCATCTGTTGTGCTTGTTGCTGAATTTTTTATTCATAAAATGCCTTATAGGTTTAGTGGTGTTTGATTAATACTGAAATATATGCCCTGTTTATCACGAGAGCATTGATCTAAAATAATGAATTAATATTTAATCAAATTGTTGAGAAGCTTTGTGGGTATTTTAGTGAAGTTTTTTATATATAATCATGAATTGAGTGATGACAAATTATGTAATCCATATGTTGTAATCATATTTGTGAAAGGTAATTTTAATGAATTTTTTGCATGTATAATACTCAAACTCCATATACAACAGAGTACTTATATTTGTTAAAGTTCTCTGTTGAAATGAATTGTAGAGTTGAAGCAATGTTAGGTATTTAATTCATACATCAGACATTAGTATTGTGCAACTTGGATTTTGTTCATTATTATGTGCCATGATCATGGAAAATAATAAAAAAAATTGTAAGTCATGTTTTGTTTATTTATTTCTCTTATTGAGTAGCTTTGAATATTCTGATGATCAAGTGTCAAAATAAAATCGGTATTTTCATTTCAAGTTAACAAACATGCAAACACCGTATGAAGGTTAACAATTTACCTCTATTTAGTAAAAAAGATAAAAATACTGAATGTAGAAATAATTCTTATAAGTTAACCTTTTGAGGCTGGGGCTTTGGTAGCAGTAAAAGCTATCAAAGGATGGGGAATCTTGAACCGAATGTTTCCCCCCTTTAAAAAAACACCTCCTGTTTGCAACAAAGATTCTTGTGTGTAGTTTAATGGATTCTCAGAGGGGTGCGTCTATGTCGCAAAAAGAAGGCATTTGAAAGAGATAGTGGTTAAAACCCCAGGGACGTCGAATTTGACATTACACCCCACTTTTCAGCCTGGAAAATGGGAAAAGACATGGCCACTAAAGTGGACAACCCCGTATTTTCAAAGAGAGGACTCTATGGCCACTATAATGGCCATCCCGTCTTCAAAAGGTTAAATTGAGAAAGATTAAAAAGTATTAAGGTTAAAGAACATCCATTATGAATAAAAAAAAAAATTATCCTTTGCTAGACCTAGGCATAACTGCCATTAGTCTGACGGGCAGCCCAATACAGTTCGGAAACATTAAAAAGTGTACAGTAATTTTTGACATCATTTAGCCATTGTCACATCAGTAAGTCTATAAATGTCTAAATGGTCACTGCACATGTCATCAGTATCACATTAGGGGCAAGATGGAGAGAGTGATTAACAAAATCTGTACAAGTGTCATGAAGTAGTCATGTCCAGTTTTTCATCTAAAGTTAATGACACCAACAGGTCTAAATTGTTCAGCAGGAGTAGGATTATTCATTAAGGAACTCCACATCTGGCTCCAGTAATTCCTCTTAGCACTATGATTACATACAGATGCATTGGGTTGAGAAAGGATAGATCCAGCCTTGGCCCAGAATGTCAGCAAACTCATTACCCATGATTCTACAATGTCTTCGGATCTGCTGCACAGTAACATTGGGACTAGATCACAAGCTGACAATTTAGAACAGGCCCATTGGTTGGAAGTATGACATGAAGAAATTGCTTTAATAGTGAATTAATAAATACCACAATGTTCAGATCATCTCTTACTCATTTCAGTCAGACATTTGGACAGCATCACAGTTGGTACAATTTAAAGCAACAGCCCATCTTAAGTTAAAGTGTGGAGAGTGAAGCTTTGCACCAGCATTATAATTAGCAGGAATAGCAGAACCATTGGTGTACGGATGCAACTGGTGCATTGTTGGGAATCTTTTCAATAGTGGCCAAAGCAGCCATCCTTAATTCTATGTCGGTAGAATATTTTACAGGCCCTTAGAACAGTTTAAATTTTAATTTGCCTAGTTCAAATGTCTTAGAAACACACCAGTCTCAGGCTGTCTGTTAGAAGAAATCATATTAAAAAATCATTTCATTTGTGATATGTAAAAAGGTAGGTTAGGATTTTAACTTATGTTCTGAATCGTCGAGAAATTATCCGGGACTTATTTTCCTTCAGCGAGTCCTGTGATGATTCTCAGGATGTTATTTTGAGTAGTTTCGACTCTGTTCTGTATTGACTCAGAAGCAGATATGAGAAGCTCACTACCATATTCGACAGCAGGCCCAATATAAGATTTATAAGTAGTACAGAGGAGATGTTGGGTGGTACCCCCACTATACACGGTAAGCCTTTTAACCCTTAACTTCCCACTGTTGCATTTCTGCAACATATGATTTATTTTAACAGACTCAATATTTTTTAAAATTACCTACAAATCACATATCTGAGAAAAAACGATTACTGCAACGAAATACATGCTTTGTCACTAGACAGCAGCACATTTTTTCCAGAAATCACAACAATTATAAAAATCTCTGATGCCGCAAGAGCTGTGTTTTTGCTATAAAAAGACTCCATTATATTTTATGCTTCCTCTTGTTTATTGATGAAAAAAATTAGAGGTAAAAAATTTAAACATTTTATGTTCATTTGAAAGTAATTTTGATTTTCTAATGGAAAAAGTTTGAAAGAAATTTGATTTTAATTATATGTTGCAGGTCTGCAACATTGGTCTTTGGTTACCATTTTGACATAGCCAAAAAGCGATACTAACCCAAGACGAAATTGCTAGATATATGAATAATTTGGACAAATTAAGTGATTTAAGTGAGAATGGTCTTTAATATTCTGTTGATGATGTTAATTTTTTACCTGATTGTGTGTCATCTAATGATTATTCGGATAGCGACTGTGAAAATAAAATTTCACAAAATACAGTTCAGAATATAAAAAAAACTGATCATGATGATAAATTTGATAGAAATATTTCGGTCAGTGTGTACGTGTGTGTGATTATAGCAAAGCCTCGAGAGCTATCTGCCTACGAGAAGGGATGCCTTCGTGGAGGATTTTCTAAGGGAACTGGCTTGTATAAAAGTTACACATGGGGAAAACCACAAAAACAACCATGCAGCCAGCCCCGTTTGCGGGATTCGAACCTCGGACCGAACTACCAGTGTTCAGCGACTTTACCGCTCGGCCGCTGGTATATTTCAGTCAGCGAACCTTTTTTAAATTTAACTGTTAAGAATAATAAAACATTGTCAAAGAATATTTTATGGAAAAATCAAAACATTTCATTGATTGAAGAAATAAAATTCCATGAAGATGACACTCTCCCAAGAGAAATTATGGATTTGTACACTACGTACCAATTTTTTAAATATTTATGGACGGAAGAAATCATAAGTAACATTTATGAACACAGCAAACAATATGCTTATTCAAAAGAATCCAAGTAATCCTTGGACTATATCAGAGAATGAAATAAATCAATATTTGGGTATTTGCATTTATGCATCTCTAGTTCACCTGCGAAAAGCATACTGGTCAGAAGAGCTTGGATTTGATCGAATTAAAGAAACAATGTCTTTTAAAAAATTTGAAACTATTAGATAGTATCTCCATTTTAATGATAATGATGAACATCTACCAAGAGATCATCTTAACCATGATAGGCTATATAGAATTAGATTCAGGCCAAGAAAATAATGAAAAGTATAGGCTGAAGTGTGAACCAGATTTAGGTGCTAGTGCAAATGTCGTAATATGATTAGCAAGAATTATACGTCGTAATAAAAATTACACTCTACTTTGATAATTATTATACTTCTATTTCACTTTTAGCATATTTATCTAAAGAAGGGAGGAACCGAATTCCTAATTCCAAAATTCCTACTGAAAACGTTTTCAATAAAATGGAACGAGGACATTCAATGGAATTTGTTGAGAATTATAATGATGTAGAAATCTCTGTGACAGTATGGAAAGACAATAAAACTAATAATGGCCTCAACATTTGTTGGTGAAAAGCCACTTCGAAAAGTATACAGACATGACAAGAAAACTAAAGATCATGTAGAAATTATTAGGCCTCATGCCATTGAAGAATATAACAAACATATGGGAAGTGTTGACTTACTCGGTAGTATAATAGCTCAACACAAAATATTAATGAGAAGCAAGAAATGGTATATGAGAATTTTTCTTTCATTTGTTAGATCTAGTTATCGTAAATGCATGGTTACTATACAAGAATGTGGAAACTGATAAGAAATCTGAAAATAAAAAAAAATCTAATGAATTTACAAAAATTCAAATCATAAGTTGCATCATGCTTATGCAAAATGGGGTATGATCGAAATGCTAAAAGAGGAAGACCTAGTAATACTTCAATAGAACAAATGTCTCAGACTAATGATGCAGAGGGACTGTCCAGTCTGTTCCATGTAAGGACATTCTTAGAGATGTTATAAATCATTGGCCAATATGATGAGAAAAGAATACGGTGCAAGTTTCCAAACTGCAAGAGCTACACTCAAACTGGGTGTGAATAGTGTAAAGTAGGGGACTTTTTACAACAAAAATTAAAGTAAATTTATGAGAAATTCACAATTTTTATATGATTAACATAGTTGCATATAAATGTGAATAAATAAATCTCATATCCCTTGCTTCGTGTTCTGAAAATTTAATTCTAAGAAAATATAAATTTTTAAATCTTGTACTGAGCATTCTTCCTTCGGGTAGAAAAACCAAATGTTTTCTAATTTCATTTATCCCCTCTTCTGTTCCTAATTATTAATGTTTGATTTTAGTAAACGTGAACTGAAATTGGAAGTGTATACCAATGTTAACAAATTTGATTTAAGGGAATTCTAAATCATTTAAAAATAAAGGTCAAGTGCTCTCTTTTTTTTTTCCTCATAAGCAGTCTTTTCGAGAATAAATTAACTAATACAGGTCAACATGCATTACAGAGAAATTGTTCTTTAAGAAAGAAAAATTATTTAAAAACAATTTATTAATTACTTCAGGTTTTTGCATAAGAAGTAATTTTGTTTTTCCACGCAGTTAACGTAAGAATCAGCATACTGAGATCAAATCTAACTTGTGAGTAACTGAATTAATTCATAAGACAAGAAATAGACTATATAAATTAAACTCCTTTTATGTTGATACATTCGAGTCATCAGATCTCGGGAATCTTCAGAAAGATTTTAATTTCCAAACATTGGATTTTAGAACTTTGTTCATCACTTGAATCTTTTGAATCCTAAGAAATTTTTTGCGAGTCGTTCAAATTACTTAAAAGTATGTGTTGACTAGTCCCAATAACTCTGGACATAGATAGCATTTTTATAATAAATAGCAGTTCATGCTGTTTGATATAAATGGTTCGTGAAGCACATAGTCTGTCTACTAATCTAACGTTTAACCGTAGCTGTTGAATTTTGAGCTATTTTTCAAATACAAGGCAAATCAAAACTAATGGTACAGAAAAGAAAACGTACCTGTGATTAGTATAATCTATTTATTTCACAAATGCAGATGTATAGTAAGTGAAGAACTCTATATTTCTGTGGACATGCACAGATGTTCAATGTGCTCTGCTTGACAGTTTTGTTCGGGAGTTCTTGCCAAACAGGTATACGTATCCACTTTATTCTATTATCTATTGGACCCATAAAAGCGGTCAAATGACTTACCGCCACGTCTTCAATTTCTAAATTGGATAACTCAGAAGAAAATTTTCAATAAAGATTTCCTTATTTTATTGTTAGCCTAATGTTTACACAACCTGTGTACAGAAAATAATTCTAAAATGGAGTATGTAGACATATAACAGGGTTGCCACACTACCTGGATAAAGTTGGAGAATTAGAAAATTGATTAAAAAATTCAGGAAATATAAATATTTTAGGGAAAGTCTCAAAATTTCATACGGTGATCCCTCCAAAAAACAGTTTTACGCTGACGTTGGAAGTGATCACTTTCTTGGTGAATTGTGTATCACATTAGTGTCATTTGGGCTGCTGGCATAGAACCAATTGTCTTTTAGGAAGGCAAAGCAAGTTTCCAGTAACTCGAGAATCGCATGTGCATGTTGAGCTAAACAAAATACTTATTCTCGTATAAAACAAAAGCGGTTTAATCCTAGTATATGGTACTATGGAAGTGAAAGAATATGTAGTATTTAAGAAGGAAAACTTCGCTGCAACAGGAGTGGCTCTGTTCCAACATAGGGGGAAACAGCTGCTCATGCGCAAAATTTCTATCGTCAAAGGTGACTTTATCAAGAGTTTATAAAATGAATATCGTTTAAAATTTCTTTAAATTTTAAAGGAAAAGAAGATATTTTTTCGTGCAAGTAAATTAATTAACCCGCGAGCACATGCACCGATCCGACGAACACGCGCCGGGTATGTCATACCCGAATAAAAAGTTTGTAATTAAAAATTTGCTGAATAAAATTAATCGTTCTTTAAAAGAAATTAAAATGTAAAACCAAGTTAATACTTCATTTTAGACAAAATATGAAAGAATAAGGAGAGGTAAAATTATTTACTTACAATTTTTTTAACATTGTTTACAAAATGAGGTCACATGTTCTATACATATACTTTTGCTTTAATTTTCACAAATGAATCTAGTCTTTCTATCTTTTTTCTTGGGGCACTCTGTACACCTCTTGTAAATAATTTTAGGTTTTTTGGGGGGAGGTGGTTCATTGTTAACACGTTCATCGGTGGTCAGTGTTTGTCTAGAATCAGGAACTACAGATGCTCGTCTCGTTCATTTTGAACACTTTCTATTAGCTGCATCCCTAAGGTTTTGAGAAAAGTACGTCTGGTACGGTATTCCGTTGGTAGTTCCTTCTTTGATAGTAGAATTATTCTTGCATTAATGGCAGCCACGTTTAACACTGAAAAGAAAATCATCATAAGCCATCAACGTGCTACTCTTGCTGTAGAATACGCAGCTGCCATCTCATCTACAACATCGACTGCTCCTTTTGTCATGTTATAGAATGTAATGATTTCAGGCTTTCCAGTAGATTCATCGTATACGAAGATTTGATCGCCGGAATGCATTGTGAAAAACAGGATCACACTCTTATTTTTTCTCGGCACATAAGATATAAGTGTTGCTTCTTTCTGAAAACCTAAAATTGAAGAATATACTTCTCTTTCCTTTGCCAGAAACTCAGGTGGGATTTCTCTCTTATTTTTACGCATTGTACCTACTATCGTAAATTTTCTTCTTAGGAGATCTTGAGATAATTCATATGCCATATACCAATTATCAACTGTTAAATTTCGACCAGAGTTGTATAAGGGCCTTATTAAACGTTTGACAACTTCGCTTGCACCATTTTCAACTTGAAATGGCCCATCTGGTTGTTTATCAGCATAAATTTCCATACTCCAGGTATAAAATACCCTTGCGTCTACAAGAGCAAATATTTTTATGCCATACTTTGCTGGCTTGTTGGGCATATATTGTTTGAAGGAACAAAGACCTCTGAATGATTCCAATTTCTCATCAATGGTCGCATACTCTCCTACATCTGCCTTTTGGCAATTTGTGGCAAAATTTCCGAAAAATTCTCTGATTGGAGCTAATTTATCAACGTCTCTTCTACTGGGACGATCTGTAATGTCATCAAAACGGAGGCATCGTAAAAGAAAGAGGAATTGGTTCACTGACATTGTTTCTCGAAATATGTCCATTCCCGTTCCGTCTGTTGCCCACAAATCTCTTACGTTCACATGGGATGATTTATAAACTCCACATAAATACAGCAATCCAATTAAAGCTTTGATTTCGCATCCCGTTCACGAGTGAAATTTCCACGTACTGAATCAATATAAATATTTGTATTGTCGACTACATGTTTTAACATAGCTCTTGATAAGCAGTGACCAGGAATCTAAAGGTGTTGAGACGTCTTTAGAATACTTCGTATTTCCAGGGAGTTTAGTTATAATATTTTTGGCGCCAATTCTAACATTAGTCCGGAATTTATTTTTGTTCCATTTTACTCCATTTTTTCCAACATAAAACTCACTGCTACATTCCAAAGTTTCATGTTCTGTTTCTGTATCTGAATCACTACTCTCTATGGATGAATCGTGATTACTATTATATTCTTCGTCATCAACATCTTCAGCGTCTTCACTAAATGAATCCTCATCAGAAGAAACTGTTTCAAGAAGATTTCTCAATCTTTTCATCTCTTCATCATAAGGAATATACGGCGCCGTGCTTACAACTCAAGAAACCTATACTAAAAGCTTGAAAACAAGAAGTGCGAAGCGACTCACTGAGAAACGCGAGTACACGCGCGGGTATGACATGCCCGAACAATGCTGTTGCTAAAAAGCCGTTGCACCTGTCACCTCAAGAATTTCCCCCATTTAAGTATGTGACCTTGAACTCAGCTACACCAAGTTTCGTCCTTTTTATGAAAGAATGGGTGAGAAATATACAAAAAGAAAAATGCACATGGGTATGACATACCTGTTGTGTGTGCTCGCGGGTTAATGGATTAGTTATTCTGAGCCAAATTAAAAATACGAAAATCAGGGTTTAAATTATTGTGAAAAATCAAAGAAGAAACCTTTGTCAAAGCATGTTACTTCTTAACATGTGGTTCTCAATTTCCTGTACTCATCGCGGAGAGAGAAATTCTATTTGCCAGATGCCACGGCGAATTTTCCCTCCGCTTTCTAGCGGTGTAATAGCATCACGTCTATGGAACATTTCCTTCTTTACATTGAAGTTCTTTGGTTATAATAACCTTCATGTACAGTACACACGGGATTTGGCGATATTATGATAAGCAGTAGTGTCTAACCACACTAGCGAGAGCAGTTTGGCTGAGATGGGTCAGTTTAACTGAAGGGTGTGGGTGAAAATCTTGGGATATTTTTTCCTCACCGAGGTCGGGGTTTATTTAGGACTTTCTTACAATACTGCACTCACCCCTACATCACTGGTGGATATGCCCACTTCCGCCTCAAGCCGGATGTTTACATAAATCTGGAATACATGGTCGGACAGTAACCGGGCAATTTGGTGTTGGCGACAATTTTCAAAATTGTGTCAAGGCCTCGCTGTATACTAGGATTTTACCTTTTAATAAATGCCTTATTTGTCATTTTGGAGTAAAATAAAAAATTAGTAATCAGTAAACTAGACTAACCAGTTAATATAACTATATTCGCTAAAATATCATTGATTATTCTAAATTCAATTGTTAAGTA